ACTTTTCCATTACTCAGAATCCTTTGAGCACTGTCATTAATAGTTACTAACCCTTCTAACTGGTCTCCCTTCCCAATTCTGTTTTCTTCTCTGGAGCCAGTGTGGGTTTGTTTTTTAAACATTCAATGGATGTATCAGCTCCTATGTAAAACTCTTGCCATGGCTTTTCTTATTTGCAGCAAAGACCCACATCCTGCTAGCCACTGACGTCAGCTGGAAAGGCCCCTAACAGACTGTTACAAAGGTAAAAATGATCATCACCTATGGTAGCATCCTAGCCAGAGACCTCACGAGCTGGTTCTTCTGTAACCAAGAATACTAGTGACAGTCACAGGCTTATAAAGCCACAACTCACCCCATAACCTCCCACCCATCCCCTGGGACTGAGAACTGAGAAGTCAAGATTTGCTCCCCTGGGTTCAGTGTGATCTTGTTGATGGGACCACACTCCAGAAGCCTCCCTGGCCACCGCCCCGCTCTGAGTCTTTTATCTCTGTCTCCTATCATGGACTCATCTACCTTTACGTGGGCCTATAGATCTGCTCTCCTAAAGAGAGACCAGTGGCTTCAAAAACAACCTCATCAAACTTCATAGAACACTGCTACTCAAAGTCCACAAACAGCAACATCAATATGATCTGGGACTTCTTACAACTACAGATTCTCAAACCCCATGGAAGCAGAATCTGCATTCCATCAAGACCCCCAGGACCCTGGCCCTGGCTCCTGTGGATTGTCTGATTCATTGGGCTAGGGCCCAGTTATCTTTTCTAAGTTCCCTACTAATTCCAACATTGTCAGTGTTGAGAAATCCTGCTAGGGAGTAAGGGCATCCCCTACTCTCAGCTGCTTCTATCATCTCAAATACATCATTAGATGCCAATTAATTTCCAAGGTTACCATTGGGAGAAATCAGGCCAGATAAAGAAAAATCTTACTGGTCAAGTAATCCAACTAAAAGTAAGTGTAGCTTCTGTTCTGTGCCCCTTTCCCTTTGGCCAAAGTAAGCTATTACTTTTACTAGTCACAGTTGTTGTTTTTCTATGGCTGGAAGCTATGCCTATCTAAAAAGGAACTTTTCTAAATCTTTTTTTTTTTTCCAGTCTCACTCTGTTGCCGAGGCTGGAGTGCAGTGGCACTATCTGCAACCTCTGCCTCCCAGGTTCAAGTGAGTCTCCTGCCTCAGACTCCCAATAGTTGGGATTATAGGCACCTGCCACCACACCTGGCTAATTTTTATATTTTCAGTAGTGATGGGGGTTTCACCATGTTGGCCAGGCTGGTCTCGAACTCCGGACCTCAAGTGATCCACCCGCCTCAGCCTCCCAAAATGCTGGGATTACAGACATGAGCCACTGTGCTCGGCCAACTTTTCTGAAATTAATCAAGAAAGAACCTGACCATTACCATGGCCTCCAGGGAAGGTGGTCACCTCCTCCTGGTTTGCCTGGGACTTTCCCAGTTTTAGCACTGAAAGCCCCACATCTCTCAGTCCAGGCAAGGGATGGTTGGTCACCCACGCCCAGTCTCCCTCATGGTCTGACCCTGACGCCTCCCTCTTCTCTCACCTCTTCCTCTTGCTCCAATATGAGGAGTACCTTCACTTCCTCCTAGAGCTCACTCCCACCTTCCTGCCTTGCTTTGCCTGTGTTCTTCCTTCCAATCGTGCCCTAGTTATTCCACTCATTCTCCAGCTCTCAGCTCAAACATCAGTCCTGTTTCCAACCCCCAGGCTTGAGCAAATCCCCGTTTTCCTCTCTCATAGTACACGCTGTCCTTTTCACAGCACTTGTCTTGGTTTACACAATTGTGTTTGTATTTGATTAGTGTCTGTCTCCCCGTGTAGACAGTAAATGCCTTAAGGACTGGAACTGAATCTGTTTTCACTCTGCTTTCTCAGTGCCTAGGTACGCATTAGACAGTTAATACATATTTGTTGAATGAATGAAATAAATCCATGTAATCAGGATCCCGTCCATGTGTCTCCATGAGAGAGACTGCCAGCTTCCTGCAGGGTCCATTCTCTCCTCCCCCTATCGAGATCATCCCCTGACTTGGGGGTGGGCACATGGCTACTCAGATAAAGGCTCATTCCATCCTCTCTGGGTGCTGGGTACAACAGGGTGAATGAATTCTGGCCAAGAAGAAGTGGAATGTGCAACTTTCAAAAGGGCTTGTTAAAAGGGATGCGTTCCTTGCCCTTTTTCTTATTAGCTGGACTGTAAGTGTGATGGCTGATGCTCCAGTAACCATCTTGCATCCAAAAGTGACAGTGGGCAGGGAAGCCAGGCATAGCGGAGAAACAAGGTGGAAGGAGCCCAGGGCCCTGACACCGTGGAGCTCATCCCAACCCTGGGAAGCTACCTCTCTTTGACATGAGATAAATAAATGTATTCACCTATTTAGGACTGTTCTGTTACTCTACCACACTTAATCCTAACTAAGAGCCTCTATCCTGCTGGTCCCTTCTGACTTTCAATATGTATGTCAGAAATAACGAACCACCAGTGTGTTTTCTCTTCCCTTAATTACACCATGTAAATATAAAACAGGAAGTGAGAATGTGAAGTGGTCATCTAGTAGCATGGTTTCAAGGTAGTGAAATGAGGAGGGAACTGAGGGAGTCAGGAACTCAGGGTCTGGTCCTAGATAGCTGAGCCATCTGGACTTCAGCTTCCTCCCCTATGAGCAAACATAAGGAAGCAAGGCCATTAACTGCCATTTCCCTTCATTTTCCAAAGGCCTCCTCATTTTAATATGTTTCAGAGTTATGTTGGAGGAACAGTCACATTGGGGCACAAGGCACAGGATCTGAAATAGTTGTGAAACAACTGACGTTCAACTAAACTCGAAACATTAGTCAAAGCTTGCACCACAGGAAAGATGCCCTAAGTACGTATGGAAGATACATAAGATCTTGACAAATGCCAGCAAATACCCCGACCCTTAGAAGTTCACGCTGGGTTCTACAGATCTGTTAAACCAGTTGACCTGAAAGCATAGTTCTAGTAAAGAGCCTTTTCCTCAAGGGCCTCCAGGTGCTAATCAGTTTAAGAGGGGGAAGAAAAAGGAACATCAAGGAGACTGGGAGGGAAAGGGAGAACTATACCTACACATGTAATAGGCTCCAAAATTCAAACGAATGAATCAATTACATATGGAAGAAGATGCAGTAAAGTGAGAAGATGCAGTAAAGTGTACAAGACAGTACAAGGTAGATCAGCAAGCTCTATCATGACAGCTAGCTACAAGTCCTCTATCATGACAGTCAGCTAGCTAACCAAAATTGAGTATAACAAATATTAAAGATTTAAAAAACAAAAATAAAGGGATATATCATGGATAAAACTGATCTAATAAGCTCTCTCAGTTCAAATGATTTTTCTTTAGATTTCCTAGGAAGGAATCAATATGCCTAAGACTTGCACTGCTTCAGGTATAAAACTGTGGAACCCAACGTGTATATTAATAATTTCATTGGTTTTGTTTCCATTTTAAGCTGAGCAGCCAACCTAATCCTTAGCTTCAAACCAAACTCCAGGTTCATTTTATAAAAGCCAAGTAAAATAACAAATCCATTGACATGAGTGCCATCTAGCCCTTCCTATCTAGATGGTGACTGGTTACAGTCAGCCCATGCTGGCACTGGTTTGCCATCTCTGCCACTTCCCCTTCCTATCAGCCATTCTGCTTGCTCCGCAGCATTTTGGCCTGACCAAGTGGTAGATTCAGAAGACACTGAGCACACGGTCTTTTTTTAACTTCAGAGAGTTCCAAGCAAGTTGAGGCCTTCCTCATCACAGATCAAAAAATACAACCCCAACGTACCAGGTGTTATTCTAAGACCTAGGGACAGATTCTCTCATTACCAGGCAATTTAGTTTACTTCTCTTAAACTAAGAGTAAATACTACAGAGAACAGCCTATGCACTGGCTTAGAGGACAGACACAGATTGTTCAAAGTACATCCTCCGATGAGCTTCCACCATCAGCTCCACTGCCCACCTCCATCCCTGAGCCATTTGGGAACTGGTCTATACCCACCGAGGCTGTCCCAAGGCTAGAAAGAGATGGGAGCTCATCTCTACCATGGTGGGTACAGAACAGGGAGGTATGCTTTTTTTTTTTTTTAAACAGTGAACCTTTGATGTTTAATGAGATTTCCCTTCTAATTTGAGGGAAGACTCTCTTGAGAATGACTTCCAACTACATTATCACTCCCTCTGTTAGAAGACTAACCCTAATATTCATTAATAAACAATAATATGACAAGAGGAGAAAGAGATGATGTATTTTAAACAACTTTGTGTCTGTTTATCCAATAATTTCACAGACTCAATATCATAGTAACATGGTTAAATAAACAATAAAAGATTTATTATTAAATTCTTAATTTAGTGATTCACCAAGCATAGCATCTTATGTGCTATAGTTTCTGGGATTTTTGTTTATTGTCTAGGAATCCCAGCAACAGTACTAACAGGCAATAGGCTTTTGTCTCCTAGAAATGAACATAAACATTTTATCCTCTTAATTTAAATATGACGCCACCTGTCTATTCTGGCTCCAATTAAATGGGAAAGTAGAAAAAGGGACTATTGCTACTATAAAAGGTTATTGGAAAATGAGAACATGTACTAAAACTTTTTTCCATTGATTTACTTAGAAGTACCATTTAAATGTTCTTCCATTAAATTAATTACAAATCAGATAAATGCATGCAACCTCATTCTGAAAACAGTTTGTCTTACCAAGTAACTGAACATGTACCAGAGGACTCAAATGGACAGGACAGAATGGAAAGATTTACTAACTGAATATACTAATCCAATAATTCCTCTAAAAACTAAATAGACTTTAATAGTCATGTATGGGGAACCACTAAGCTAGGAAGTTTTAGCCCCGTAATAAAAATTTCTTCATAATCTCTTTTTCTCCTGTACCCAGACCTGCAAGAATTGTCTCAAACAATAACAATAGTACACAAATGTTAACCCAACCTTAATTCAGAACAGCTTCAGTGTGATGAGGTAACCTTGGAAACTATGGAGAGCTCTCAGGTAGACGCCAGAAACTCTGTTTCAGATGACAGAAGCAGGCAGATTGTTAAGAACCCGTTGGCCGGACACGGTGGCTCAAGCCTGTAATCCCAGCACTTTGGGAGGCTGAGGTGGGCGGATCACGAGGTCAAGAGATCGAGACCATCCTGGTCAACATGGTGAAACCCTGTCTCTATTAAAAAATACAAAAATTAGCTGGGCATGGTGGTGCACGCCTGTAGTCCCAGCTACTCAGGAGGCTGAGGCAGGAGAATTGCTTGAACCAAGGAGGCGGAGGTTGTGGTGAGCCAAGATCGCGCCATTGCACTCCAGCCTGGGTAACAAGAGTGAAATTCCGTCTCAAAAAAAAAAAAAAGAATCTGTTATGAGTGGAGTCCCATGCTAGGGCTTACCCTGGCCACCACTTACTTAGTGAAAGCCATGAGCAAGTTCTGTAGCCATTGTGAGCATCACAGAGTGGTGATTGTACAGATTATATATAAGACTATCTATGGTCAGTGTCTCCATGTCTAGCATCCTCAAGAAAATCCAAATGCCAACTGTTATTGTGACAGGGACAAGCACTGGGTGCTACAGGCACATAGGAGAGTACCCACTCCAGGCCAGGGAGCCAGCCAAGGCCTCCCAGATGACGCTAACTCTACCTTGAGACCTGAGCCAGAGAAAAGGTCATTTTCAAGTTAATAATTATACCCAACCAAGACTTTCTAATGAGATAAAATACTTGGTACCAAAAGTTACATTCTATTTGATATTTAATCATCTCATAGAAATGTAAGAGTAGAAGTATAATAATAGGACAAACAGGCAGCCAGAAAAAACAAACAAACAAGTATGGACCATCTGGTTTTAAGCATTCTGCTGTGGGTGCCTTTAACTGCAGTGTTTCTTTTCTCCCCACAGCCCTCAAACTATTTTTTAAAGAAGAGAAGTATTTCTCTTGACAGTTAACTAGCACGGGAAGGACCACAGCTGCTCAGGCATCTTCTCCTTGGCACACACTTTCCACCACCAGGGCCCCCTATACGTGTTCTTTTCCTCCTCAAGAGTAAAGACCTCGAAGGCACTTATTCTAGAATAAGCTCACAATTCTCAGCACACTTTTGGCAGTATATGTTGAGGGAATGCTCGCGCCCACACTTCTCATTGCTCCTCTTGCCACCAGCCCAATCATTGGGTCATTAACAGTTCCATTTGCCTACTCTCCTTTTGAACAAAGAAGTTCTCACCAGGTAAATTCACCTGCCTGCCTAGTGATTACCTGCAACTGCCCATGGGAACAGGCCAAAGGCTGCTTATGGTGGCTCAGAAACATGTGCTTCATACATACAGTTGCGCCTACTTGATTAGCTTTGGATTAACAAAATCCAGGATATCAAGGAATATACCTTTCATTTGGCAGACACATCTACACGGGAGGTGGGTAACCCTGTACAAGTTTGTGTGTGACTTGGTTTCTTAAAATGAGGATAAAAAAACAACAGCTACTTCATAGAAGGTAATATTAATAATAGCAGCAGTAGCTGGCATTTGAGTGCCTACTCGGAACCATAACCAACCAGTTCTAAGCATTTTACATGTAATAAATGAACTAAGACACAAGAAGCACTAACAAATATTAGCCATTACCATTATTTTTAAATTTTTGACTTAGCATTAGACTCTTTCCTCCAAACAAAACCTCACCTAGAACAGCAAAAACAACAAAACAAACATAAAAGTATACAAATACAAAAAGCAGAGCAACTCCAAGTATAGCTGGAGCGGGTTCGTGTTCCACCCTCGGCATTCCTATCCCCCCAACACCAGTTCCTTAGAACCTCCAAGGAGTCCTGTGGTTCCTGAAATCATGGTTGAAATGTGAATGCTATCAATGAACAGATGGATGGTGGTGAAGAAAACCACAGCAAAGCTGAGCCAATCAGGACAGCTAATGGCCCAAGTCTGGCCAGATGTAGGAAGAGCAAGGACCAGTGTGGGGTGCACACATTCCCCCTGCAAACACAGTGGTCTGCCTAAGGTGTGCTGGGGAGTGTGAGCTTATTCCACTCTATGACCACCTCTCCCTGCCTTCCTAATAGGTGACAGGGTCTTCTCTGGGCTTTGGGGCGCTACACTAAGCGATCATCCAATGCTTCTTTGATGCATCTGACATTCTAATTCGGTCTTTCTGATAATATTACGCAGAGATGCTTAGTCCATGATTCTCGATATCCTAACACTTTAAAGAAGATATAGTAAAAACAAATTTTAAAATATCTGTTCTGTGGGTTTTCTTCTATTGTCTGGTTTTATTTCAAAAAAGCTAAAAAAGTCATCCCTAACCTAGCTTTGACAACTGATTTTAAAACTGGTTTTATGTTTGTTTTGCCAAACACCACCGGTAAACAAGGGAAACTATGCTTGTAAGTCTTCAGAAGTTATGTTTTGCAGAAAGTTTTCCATAACCTGCTCCTTGAATCACATTCTTCCTCTGCTGCACACAAACTGCAGATCCCACAATTGGAGCAGAGGAAAGAATTCTCCCCCTGGGCTCACAGCGCTGGCATACCCTGAACTTGGTGCAAAGAAAGGCAAAATTCCAGGTGATGATGTTAAGCCCGGAGTAGGCACCTTTCTGCCTCCCAAACCAGCCTTTTCCAGTTGTGCTCCTGCCTCCATTTCCAATTTTCCTTTCACTGCCAAAGTAAGGCAGGGAGGAGAAAATAAAATAACATAATAAAAAGTTCAAATGAATACACCCACAAGAAATATGTGGCTAATTTTACAATAACCCAAGGTGTGGAAAGGTTGAAAAAATGAGTTCATTCTCCAAGCTTTTTAAAGTGGGAGGTAGGACAATCAGAATTCTCCACTGGGAGGGGCCCCCTGCATTAGCTACCGCCTGGATCAGCCAGCCGGAGGCCCTCATTTTATAGATGAGGACATATCAGAATGGACTCCCAGAAAGGTGCTGCTTCCACTGCACCCAACAGTTTGCTGTGTGAATTAAAAGCTCCTGCTGGGACCAAGAACAGAAATTCATAAGCAATCCCCGCACCTGCCAATTTGTCATAATCCCTGAAGTTCCTGCAGCCCAAACTCTGTGTTTGGGAACCTGCCTCCTCCCCAAATTCACTAGTGGGCTCCAAATACAGACACGGGAATGTGTTCCTTCAAAACCAAGAAGCAGCTATGCTCATCTTTCTCGGGGCTGGTTAGGAAGACACCCATTGACTCTGTGGACTTCAGAGCTGGAAAGGACCCCGCTACCAAGCCATTGGGTGGAGACACTGAGACCCAGTCCCTGGACTCCCAGACTGTGGTGAATTTTTTTTTTTTTTTTTTTTAAGATGGAGTCTTGCTCTGTCGCCCAGGCTAGAGTGCAGTGGCATGATCTCGGCTCACTGCAACCTCCGCCTGCCGGGTTCAAGCAATTCTCCTGCCTCAGCCTCCCGAGTAGCTGGGATTACAGGCGCACGCCACCACGCCTGACTAATTTGTTGTGGTGTTAGTAGAGACAGGGTTTCACCATGCTGGCCAGGCTGGTCTCGAACTCCTGACCTCGTGATCGCCCGCCTCGGCCTCCCAAAGCACTGGGATTACTGGCGTGAGCCACCGCCCTCCGCCCCGTCTGGGTGAATTTTTTTAAGCTAGAGTATTCTATGTTGTTAGCAAGTCTCGACTGCCGCAAAGGCGTATGCCACATCCTCTGGCAGCAAGGCGCGAAACGCAACTCCCTCCGACAACGACTCGAGCTCCCCGGGAGGACACGGGGCTTAGCGGGTCCACGCGCCGCGGGGCCACTCCCAGGCGCAGGGCGCGACCCCCGCCGCTGCCTGGGCTCCCCGCGCGGCTCTGAGAGGACCCCCACCCCGAAGACCGCCTTTCTTCCAGGAACCTACGTTTTCCTCCCGGGCAGAAGACCTAAGCAGCTAGGCCTCTCTTATTGAAATGCGACCCCGTCCCCAATGGCGGCTCGACCCCCATGGAGATACGGCCCCGCCCCCCTCCAGCCCTGCTCAGGGGCGCGCTCTGGCTCCCGGGCTCCTGGACTCACACGCCCCTCGGGGCGGCACTAGCTGCCGCCGAGGAGGGCGCGTCCCAGGCTGCCCGCGACCCCGCCCGCCCTGACAATCCCTGCCAGCGCCCCCGCCCCGCCCGGCCCAGGCCCACCTGCAGCAGGGGCGCGAGACCGTTCCCGCTCCCTTGCCCGCGGGGGGCTCCTCGGCGCCGCCATGCCGGCCGCGCTGCCGACGGGCGCTGGGACTCCGCCCGTGGTCTGTGGTGGTCCGTCAGACGCCGCGGCAGCCCGCCGGCGCCCGGGCTGGCTTCCCCGCGGCGGGCTGGGGAGGGCGGGGGAGGCGCAGGGCGGGGATGGGCACCGACTGACGCGCCAGACAGCCAATCAGAGGCCGGGGCTGGGCGAGGCAGCGCCTAGAAGGGTGGAGCCTCCGCACGCCGTCGGGGTTGCAAGCCCCAGGTGAGCTGAGGCGTCTGGGGCTTCGCAGCGGGGCGGGAAGCTACTCCTGGAGTCCAGAAGCGCTCCCGGGGCTGCTCCGGGGGAAACATCTTGGGAATTCCACTTGGGCGGATCCGGCGACCTCCATGGCACTTTACGTCGTAGGCCCGTTAAGTGGGAAGCACAATCCCGGAGGGCTGGCTGATGACGGAGAGCGGCCGGTGCGGTTTCCCCCCGCGGGAAGGTTGCTGCGCGATCCTGCTCGGTCACGGCCGCAGTGGGCGAGCCTGGAGTCCGGATGCAGCTGTCGGCCCAGGGCCTGTTCACTGGACTGGGGAGATTTTCCAATCTTTCTTTCCCCCTGGGTCAGCAAAACGGGGTTACGCTTACTTAGAACTCAGTTTACTTTGGAGCGCGAATATGTGCATTATTGACAAAACTGTCCCCTTATAGAATGATTTATTCAAAGGAAAAAATATGGGAGTAGTTAACAGAATAAGCTCAACAATGAAAAGGCGCTCACAACGAGGTTCTCCCCCAACTCCGTCGGTCAGATGGGCCCTTTTTTCAGAAGAAAAAGGAAGAAAATGAAAATCCTGGTGAACACTTCCTCTTTCTCCAGTATACACAGTTCCACAGACAAACTGACTACATGGGAAATGTTTCGGCATCTTTTGAAAGAGAAGTTCCTTAATTAAAGAAACATGTGAGAAACGGCCTGGAATGTTGTGTGGCTTCAATAGCCTGAGGGCAATGTCGACAAGTAATTGAATCGCTTTCCTCCCTTTCCCTAGTCTCAGAACACAGGTCTTTGGCCACTCCAGTGAGATTCTTTCTCCCAGCAACAACAGTTAACCTAACGCCAAGCATTTACTGACAGCTGGCATCCGGCCACATGTTTTGATATGCCTTTTACATACATTGCTTCATTTAATCCTTACTTGCTTATGAGGTAGGCACTGTTATTATCCCCAGTTGACCAGGACACAGGTTCAGGAAGTGCTAGGGCATAGTTTGAACCTAAGTCTGACCCCTCAACTGCGCAAAGATTCTGCAACGCATGATTCACAGAAGATAATAAAAATGTTCCCAAATCTGCTGCATGTTTAGAAAATAATGTCTTTTATCCAAATCAGATTTTCAACATTGAGGGGAAGTTTTCTACAACCGTAAACTGTCGCTTGCGTGTATAGAGCCACGTTACTCATACAAAATAAATGACTTGAAATTGCTGTGCCTAATTAACCTAAACAAGGTTATTAGCAGTGACAAGTACAAATTGTCTATTCTAGAAACTGAAAATATGAGGACTAATTTCTTGTGGTATGATAAAACAAAATTTACTTAGTCCTTTAACCACAAAACAAATTAGCCAGTTTCCCTTCCCTCCCCCCACAAGATATTTATGAACACAGCTGTTTGTACTTGGCCTAAAATCCTGTCATTTAATTCACATTTAGGATTTTGGTTGCCTGTAACGTTCGTTGTTACTCCGAAAGCTGAATGAGAGGCCTCTTAGTGTGGTACTTAAAGACCAAACCTTGGAGCCAGACTGCCTGGCATGCCTTCACAGAAGCCATAGTTACTTCACCTTTTGTGCCTCTGTTTCCTTCTCTGTAAAATGGAGCGCCTAAGAGTATCTACCCCATGAGATTTTTATGGGGATTAAATGACTAAATATGTGCAAAACGCTGACAATAATGTTTGGCCCATAAGCATCACATAAACACAAAGACATGTATACACATGCAGATTTCTGATTGGCTTTCTGGTCTAACCATGAGTGATTTATTACATGTTTGCACAATTACGAAGTTATTGATTTTTTTCTGAGATTGAGTCTTGCTCTGTTGCCAGACTGGAATGCAGTGGTGCAATTTCGGCTCACTGCAACCTCTGCCTCTCGGGTTCAAGCAATTCCCCTGCCTCACCCTCCAGAGTAGTTGGGATTATAGGCGTGTGCCACCACGCCCGGCTAAGTTTTTATATTGTAATTGAGAAGGGGTTTCGCCATGTTGGCCAGGACAGTCTCGATCTGCTGACCTCATGATCTGTCCGCCTCGGCCTCCCGAAGTGCTGAGATTACAGGTGTGAGCTACCGTGCTGACCTTGGTTTTCTAAAAAATACCTAGATCATGAGCTCTTTGAGGGCAGGAACTCTGACCTAGAATCCCTAGAACCTAGCTCAGAGCTTGAATATTTATGAATGGGTAAATTGAGAGTGTGGTATGAGGCCTGCTGAAAATCACGCTGAACAAAGACCTCTGCAGCAATGGTCCCAGCTGAAATATGGACACAAATCACCACACTTGCCAAAACATCCACCTTAGAACTACCAAAAACAGGCAGTGCCTAGCATTGTGCCCAAAAGCCACCTGATTGTGACTCTGGAAAGCCCAGAATGAGTTAGGCCAGGGACAGTGGTTACTCCAGCTAGTTGCATGAGGGTTGTGATATGACCCAAATCAGAAGAAAAAAAGAAAAACGGACCAGCAAATGTTTAATTGGAGTTTTTGTTTTTATGAGGTTTTCTTGACCATTTGAACTCTGAAAATGGAATGTGAACATTCAGAACCTCTCAAGGTTCACATTGCAAAATGTATTTTCTCTTCTCTTCTTCTATTTTTTTTTTTTTTTTGTGGCAGAGTCCTGCTCTGTTGCCCAGGCTGGAGTGGAGTGGTGTGATCTCAGCTCACGGCAGCCTCCACCCCAGGTTCAAGCGATTCTCCTGCCTCAGCCTCCCAAGTAGCTGGGATCACAGTCGTCTGCCACCACACCTGGATACTTTTTGTATTTTTAGAAGAGGCAGGGTTTCATCATGTTGGCCAGGCTGGTCTCTAGTTCCTGACCTCAAGTGATCCGCCCACCTAGCCTCCCAGAGTATTGGAATTACAGGCGTGAGACATCTTGCCCTGTCCATTTTAATCATTTTTTAAAGAACACTTTAGTGGCAGCCTGCATGTCCCAGTATTTGTGCTACTTTGGTGCCTGCTGTGCCGGTCCCTTCTTGAGGGTTCTCTTGTTTCTCTCTCTGTTTAGGCTTTACACCTCACCTCCCACGATTCCAGCCTTGTCCACTTGATTTCTTAGCATTGCCTGTGAAATGCCACCTTGGATCTTGGCTTCACATCACTTACAGCCTCTGTTCACCTTCACACTGGGATATTGGGCATGTGGTATCTCATCCATGCCCTGGACCTGCATGTGGCAGTGTGGTCCACACTTCTAGCCTCTGCTCATCCAGGAAAACATCATACGTGACCTTTAAAAAAAATTGCTGAGTTCCAGCTGGGCAGGGTGGCTCATGCCTGCAATCTCAGCATTTTGGGAGGCCAAGGTGGGCAGATTACCTGAGGTCAGGAGTTCAAGGCCAGCCTAGCCAACATGACAAAACCCCATTTCTTACTAAAAATACAAAAATTAGCCAAGTGTGGTGGCACATGTCTGTAATCCCAGGTACTCCAGAGGCTGAAGCATGAGAATTGCTTGAACCTGGGAGGCAGAGGCTGCAGTGAGCCAAGATTGTGCCATTGCACTCTAGCCTGGACAACAGAGTGAGACCCTATCTCAGAAAAAAAAAATCAGTGAGTTCCTGGGAGGTGATTTTTTTTTTAGGGGATGGTTTCCAGATGGCCCTGGAAGCTGGGTTCAAATCCTAGAATGTCATTTATTAGCTGGATGACCAGAAGCAAGATACTTTAAACCCTTTTTGCCTCCGTTTCCTTGCCTACATATTAGGAATAATGACACCTCACCTCCCACGATTGATATAGTGATAGTACTTATCTAAACTGGGGCTTGTAGAGTCGAATCATTGACTACATGAAGAAGCTGGTCCTTTGTAAGTGCTCAGTTAAGTTCTGCCATCGGCACCTATTGACCTCAATATACTGTCCTCTATGAGAAAGCTGATACTGATTTTGGTATCAAAGTTTTTGTAGTTACTCAGGGACTTCAGGTAAATATCTTATTTACCTGAGCAACATAAGCTCAGATACAATACAGACAGGAAGTGGAAAGATAAGGATTTCTCAAATTCTAACTTTTCTGGATATCAACAATGATGGCATAATGTTTTAAGATAATGGATGGTCAAATAACCTGCATAGCTGGGCAAGGTGGCTCAAACCTATAATCTCAGCTGCTCAGGAGTCTGACACAAGAGGATCACTTGAGTCTAGGAGTTCGAGGCCAGCTGGGGTGATACAGTCAGACCCTATCTCTAAAAATAATAATTATTATTATTATTAAAATTAGCCAGGCATGGTGGCATGCATTTGTAGTCTTAGCTACTTGGAAAGCTCAGATAGGATCACTTGAGCTTGAGAGTTTGAGACCAGCTTGGGCAATACAGCCAGACCCTAGCCCTAAACCAAAATTTAAAAACTAGCCAATAGCCTGGTCAACATAGCAAGACCCTATCTCTATGGAAACTAGAAAACTTTAACTAGGCATGATGGTGGGTGCCTTTACTATTAGCTACTCAGAAAGCTGAGGCAGGAGGATTACTTGAGCCCAGGAGTTTGAGGCTGCAGTGAGCTATGATCATGTCACTGAACTCTGGTCTGGGCAATAGAGTGAGACCTTGTCTCTTAAAAAAAAAAAAAAAATTAAAAAGAACCTGAATAGACATTTTTCTAAAGAAATTATATAAATGGATAATTAGCACATAAAGGATGTTTAACGCTGCTAATCATTACAGAAATGCAAGTTAAAACCACAATGAGATACCACTTCACTTCACACCCATTAGGACGGCTATTATAAAAACAAAAACAGAAAATGACAAGTGTTAGAGAGACTGTTGACAAATTAGAACCTCACTTATACAG